TTTTTTTTTTTAATGCTCAGTTATTTATTCCCCCCCCTAAAAGTATGTGAAGAAGAAGAAGAAAAAATAGATGTGGGGAGTTTTATGGGAGGGGGAAAGGGAAACAGAGTAAAGCAACCAAAAACAGATAATAATCTCTACATCAATGGAACCCAAGGCCCAGAAGAAATAGGAAAATAAAGAACTAAGATATGGATTGGGGCAGAAAAAAGCTTAGTTTAAAGCAACAGGAACCACTTTACAGATACTCTAAAAGACTCACTGGAAACTTGGCACCATTTTGTGTAAAGCAGAGCTGTATCAGTGTTTGGTGAACTAGCACACGGAAAGAGACAACAGACTTTATAGAATTTTGATGAGAGGAATGAATACAAATCTGGTGGAAGAAAACAATTTTATAATAAAAGGACACATTTTAAGCGTGCACGGTATCTTTTTATTTATTTAAGTCATCTCTACACCCAACGTAGGGCTCAAACTCACGACCCTGAGATCAAGAGTTGCGTGCTCTCCCGACTGAGCCAGCTGCCCATCAGGGCATCTTTGAGAGTCTTCCCAGAGTTAAATAGGGCAAGAGATTCATAAGAGTGAAAGCAAAAGGTAGATACATACAGGGCAAGTGAGAATTGTGGGGGAGAATAACCTCCCGTTTTCTTTGAATGTGTGCCTTCACAAGATTAGAGTATAAAAGTTGTTTAGAGAAATGACTGTCTTCTATACAACAGAATATGCTGTAGAAGGAACTTTAGTTTTTTTCTCTTGAGACAGAGCTGGGATATACAGATAATGCAAACAAGATATTTCGAATCTGTATGAAAACAATCTGAATTGACAGATCTTATTTGGATAGAGATAGCAATAATCAGGAATAAAATGGGCAAATATGGAATTGGATGGTGGGATTGTTCATTTATGCACTTGAAAATAAAGTTTGTGAAATATACAGATAGGGAAGCTACTTCATATGCAGTGAAAATAAATGCAGAACCTCACAGAAACAGACACTTTGCCAAAGGTAGATAAATTAAGCTTAGAATAAAAGATACTCAATGCGCTAGAAGTGGTCTTGGAGCTTCAGCTTCCTTTCTTTGGGGATGCCAGGTCATATTGAAGAAGGGAGAGGATTTTTTTTTTTCTTAAGATAGTGCAAAGGGAAGCAAAATGATCAGATTTGTGAAGCAGGTAAAAGCCCTTGGTGTCTTAGCTGAGCCGTCCAGATTTTGAGGATTGAGTATATACCTCAACAAGCAGTATCTTAATAGAATATGGACAAAATGAGAAAGGACACAGATAATGATACAGGAAGCATTAGCTGTTCCTTTGTTCGAAAGGAAAAAGAAGGAATAATAAGGAATAGGAATGGAGCCTACTCACATTACTCAATTCCCAGTATGAAATACTTGTAGGAATATTTTCAAGACAGAAGGGCTAGCAAATGAACTGAGGTTTTAGTTTGTTTGTTTGTTTGTTTGTCTCTTGGGCTTTTATTGTTTTTAGTGGAAGAAAATAACTGACTGGATACAATCACTGCTTTTGACAGAATAAGTCATGATTGCCTTTCACAGATAATTATCTATATATACCTTAGAGAAGATTCAGAAACTTTTTTCATGGATAAAAATAAAGCAAGGTGGCATACAGTACCTAGTCTCACTTCGTTGGTATTTTGACATCTTTTTTGCCAGTACCCAAGGTATAATCTGTTTCCCAAGATAAACCATAGGCTTGAACTTGCCAGTAGCTATTCAAACTTTAAAAAATACGTATTCTTCAAACCAACAATTCCATTTTTATGAATGCCTCCCACAGATCTACCTACACAGGTAAGTATATGTACAAGAAGGTCTGTTACAGCATTGCTTGTAATGGCCAAAGTTGAGAGATAGCCTAAGTGTCCAGAGGGGAACGGACGAATAATGAATGGTATGCTGCCATGATGGAATACTATGCATCCCCTAAAAAGAATGGAGTAGATCTGTGTGTATAGAGTGCTGTCCATTTTTTGTGCTCAAGAGAATTTTAAAAATGCACAATAGTATGTATAATATTCCACTTTAAAAAATCCTATTATACATACAAGCAAACGATACATTATGCATATGTATAGAAAGAGGCCTGGAGGGGCGCCTGGGTGGCTCAGTCTGTTGAGCACCTGCCTTCAGCTCAGGTCATGATCCCAGGGTCCTGGGATTGAGCCCCATGTCAGGCTCCCTGCTCAGCCGGGAGCCTGCTTCTCCCTCTCCCCCACCCCTCCGCCGCCTGCTCGCGCTCTCTCTCGCGCACGCTCTCTCTCTCTAAATAAATAAAATCCTTAGAAAAAGAAAGAGGCCTGGACGTATATATATTAAACTGTTAACAATAATTACTTCCTGTATGTAGAAATGGTGTTTTAGTTTTCAATTTATATCTTGTATTTTTATAACAAGCATATATTTAATTTTTTTAAAACCAGCAATTTATCTGAGGGAGAAAAAAGCCAAGCCCTTGTGAGTCAGCCTTCCCCCACCCCCAGACCCTGGTTCAATTCCTCTTCTCTCATCTTAGCCATTACAGTTTAATACAAAGAAACACTGTGGGCACAATTAGTTTTTATTATTGGGAGAAGTTTCCCAAATAAAGTGCCTGGTTTCTTGTTAGCTTGGCCCAGAACTAAAGTTCTGCTCAACATGACCCCATGGTTTTAAACTACCAAGTGGTGGCTTCTTGGTAAAATCAGAGTTGTTAGTTCCTGCAGTAACTGAACATAAATCAAACATACATTAAGTGCCAACTGTGTACCAGGCAGTGGGGAATGCAAACATGCTAGTCCCTCAACTCTTCTGATGGTTCCCACCATCTTCTTGACCATCTCGTCCCCACCCCAGTGGTCACTTTCAGTCCTTCCCAGTGCTTGTCTACCTTTGAAAGGCAGTCCTCTTAAGCTTATTGCACTTTTGACTCCATATATGAATTTTCAAAGAGCTACTCTTTGCCTTCTGCATGAGACCATTCCCCTAAAATGGACAGTGCTTTTTACCTTTACTTTTCTAAATAACAGAGGCTGGAGATCATTTAACAATGGGAAAATGGAAAATATCAAGGGTGGGGTATATAATTTTTGTGTTTATAGAAGAAAAGAGGCATTTGTGAATGATTTGATATTTGTGAACAAAAACATATGTCAGTCACTGGTGGAGAAAGAAAAATATGATACATAATCCTGTTCTAAAGTATATGTATAATGTATAAATATTTTTGGAATAAAAATATTTATATCTCCCTCAAGAGAGAAAGTGGCTGGATCACATTATCTCTTTGAAGTTCCAGTTCTGTAGATTCAAGCATTTTCTTTAAAAAGCAATTTAAAAATTATGATGAGAAGATGTTTAGACTGAGATTTATATTATACATATGTGTAGGATCAATATTTCTCAGACTGCATTCTTCAGTATGTCATGCCTTTTGCTTCTTAAATCCGTGAAACACAACTCTAAATAAAAGTTTTATTTGGGTTCATTAAAATGTGAAGGGGATGGAGTACTCTTTGCTGTTTGTTCTTGTTGTGTTACATTATTACATTACAATATATATTAGAAGGTAACTTGTATGAGGATCTTCATGATTTTTCATAATAATATATTACCATTTGAAACTATAGAGTAAATCTTGCTAAAATCTTCATTTTTGAGTCTGAGCATTAAATTACATATTGTCTCCCTTTTGTGCATTTTACCGGCCGATTATCATCTTAAAATGTTTCATTCTCCCAAGAATAGACCAAAGGAACGTCTGCCTATTTGTCATAGGTTGGGATCATCACAGGAGTGAGTGGAAGAGCTAACCAATAGGCCCTCTTCTCACAAGAGCCCTGTCCATCCTCTGAATCGTGGGTGCCAGCCTATTAATTCTCCATTGAACTTTAGGCATTTGGGGACAATTATGTCCCATGTCAGAGCTACCTGGGCTCTTTTTTCCAAAGGTAATTAAATTCCAAGCTTGAAACCTGAAAGATAATTGGCCAAGCAGCAGCAATGTGCTGAGTATAAGGATATCTAAGACAATCCCTAATTCTCAAAGAGATGGAACAATCTAGTTAGTAGCAAGGAATGCCTATCTTGCAATTAACACAGATTCTCTATACCTTTCTTTCTCAAAAAAATGAAAACTGGGGGCGCCTGGGTGGCTCAGTCAGTTAAGTGTCCGACTTTTGGTTTTGGCTCAGGTCATGATCTCAGGGCTGTGAGATGGAGCCCCACATTGCCTCTGCACTGGGCGTGGAGCCTGCTTAAGATTCTCTCTCTCGGGGTGCCTGGGTGGCTCAGTTGGTTAAGCGACTGCCTTCGGCTCAGGTCATGATCCTGGAGTCTCGGGATCGAGTCCCGCATCGGGCTCCCTGCTCAGCAGGGAGTCTGCTTCTCCCTCTCCCGCTCCCCCCTCTTGTGCTCTCTCTCAAATAAATAATAAATAAAATCTTTAAAAAAAAAAAAAGATTCTCTCTCTCCCTCTGCCCCTTCACCCACCCCCCGTGCTCGCTTGCTCTCTCAAATAAATAAATAAATCCCTAAAAAGCAAACAACAACAACAACAACAACAAAAACCCCACAAAAACTATAAAAACAAGGTGTGTCCGGAATGCACTATAGAAGAACTATAAACATATTATTACAGAAAGCATGTTATCTCCCACCCTGATCCTGCACGTGGGAAAATGAAAGGGTACGTGGCAATTTCTTTTCAATATAAGATAAAGCCAATAGTTGTGTAAATAAGTGAATATATATATTTTAAGCTCTTTCCATATGTGCTCTTAATCGAAATTAGTCTTCATTTTACCTTTTCCTACTGTGAATTAAATAGACATCGTCACACATCAAGTCAGTTGTTCAGTTTTCTTCTGAGTAATTATTCTATTGGTTTTATGTTCTAAGACACCTGTTAATGTATACACAGAATTTTAGCGGGCAGAAATTTGCATACCCATATAACCTTGATTAATGACTCAACTCATGCTCTTGGTGTAGGGCTTTGACCAGCTTCGACTTGAAGGATTGCTTTGTGATGTGACTCTGATGCCAGGCGACACAGATGACGCCTTCCCTGTGCATAGAGTCATGATGGCCTCTGCTAGTGATTACTTCAAGGCGATGTTCACAGGTAGGTTGGCTTGTTAAATTCTGCACCCCCATTAAAACAATCTGAAATGCATATTTACGTATTTTTGCTTCTAAAGTGAAATTCAGTTCTTTTGATCTGTGTCTTTCCAAAAAGAAATCGCTTCAAAAGGAATATACACCTAGTATGTGTAGTTGTAAGTGGCGCTTTTTAAACTTGGGAAATGGATGTGCCTTTTTCATACTTCTGTCCATCTTTGTTTCCCAACTTCTCTTTTCCAGATACACATCTGAATGCTCTACCAGAGACTCTGGGTCTGACTAAGACAATCTTTAATCCATCAAAGGATATGAAGTGACAGGAGAACATTTTGGAAGCACTCGCATTATACACGACTTCCATTAGTATAGAGATATTCCTTTTTAAGTACTCTCTTTTAACTGTAAAATATGCGGAAGTCTGACTCTGACATGAATGCTTACATAGAATAAAACTTTTCCTTGATTTTATTGCATCTAATTAGCAGCAGAAGTGAGTTTGACCTTAATTAAATTATCCACCCCCGTTTAATTGAATGTCTTTTTATTTAAGGTGGAATGAAAGAACAAGATTTAATGTGCATTAAGCTTCATGGTGTGAGCAAAGTCGGCTTAAGGAAAATTATTGATTTCATTTATACTGCAAAGCTTTCTCTTAACATGGACAACCTTCAAGACACACTGGAAGCTGCCAGTTTTCTTCAGATTCTGCCGGTTTTGGACTTCTGCAAAGTATTTCTCATATCTGGGGTAAGCCATTTTCAAATCTTCAGAACTTTTCCTGCAATATACTCTGGTGTAGAAAGACTGCTGAATTTGTTATGTAGGCATGTGAAACTTTGGCCATGAGAGAGAGGGCTCAGGTAGTGTGTGTTCTGGAACGAAGTTGAGAGGGAAACAGTACGGGTGCTGTTTTATAAAACGGAATCACTTCATGAAAGCCTTCTGTGTAATCCCATGACATCAGACAGGAATAGTGTTTGATAACTATATATATGTTAACCTGTTTACTGACGTTATATATTTTAATCTGGTTTTGTTTGCCTTCCTGATTTTAGGCAGGCAGTCTTTCTTAAATGGAATTCCATGAAAACGTAATCTGAACTTCTGTAAGTCTTTTAAATTAGGCTCAGTAATTTTTTTTTTTCTTCCTTAAATACGGGATCTAGGTCTTGAGAAGAAGTAACACCTACGTGACAGCCTGTAAGATATAAGTCTTAGTTCCATAGAAACACATCACCTACTAAATCATTTTTAGCCTCTCTTAAGAAATAGGAGAGGGCACAACTACCAATCGGTGAACTCCTTAGCAGTCACATGGTTCCTGAAGGCACTGCCCTATTTGAGACCCTTAAATTATTGACTTCTGGGAAATGAAATGCTTTGGTTGCGAAGAAATATTGCCAAGAAGATTTCTACAGCTTATAGAGCTTGCTTTTGTGACTGAAAATTATGACAGTGGTAAATTTTGATATATTTTCTGACTTATTAAATAAATGGAGAATACATTTTTCTATAATTGATTTAAATTCATACCAGTTTTAAAATTGGTAAATAATTGCTGTTGAGCTTTTTAAAATTTGCAGTTACTAAACTGGGAGCCCCGTTTTTAAAACCCTAAGTTTCAAGAGAACATGTCCTTACTGATTTTATTAATAAGCTACTCCTTATCTTTACAGAGTCAGCCAACAGCTACTTTAACCGGGCTATTGAAAATATGTTTTGTTTGTGTGTTTCCATTTCAAAGTACTCACACGACTGTCTCACAATTATTTGTAAACTTTCAAACTAACTGCTATTTTTCAGGGTTTTAAGGCAGTGTGGTGTTACAGAGTTTCGTGTTGTCCTATTCACTATTGTAGAAGTAAGCCCGCATGAAGTTTGTTTATTTCCCATGATACAGTTTGTCATCGTTACTGAATCTGAGCACTAAATTTCCTTTTAATTTAATCACACAAGGCCCTTCCCCTTAGGACCTATCAGCATCTCTCCTCTAGTTTTGTGCCACTGATATTATATGACAGCTTCATCTCAAGGAAAAAAGGAACTGAATTACATGTATTTTTTAAAGGTATCAAGTCCAACAATTAACTTAGTAATAACACTTAATGCTTACATTTATAGACTCTTAACATTGCTTTACACTGATCTCAGCAACAACTGGTCATCCTGAGCCAAACTAGGTACAGTGTGGTAATTCTTTGGAACTAATCATTAATAATAGACATTTATTGTCGACTTCTTCTCTAATACCAGAGTTTAGTACTTATAACTTTAGATATTGGTTGTGATCTGTTCCTTTACCTGAAAGAAAAGGACCAAATGGAATAAAGCATGATTTATGAAAAGTCATAAAAGCATACAGTTGTCAAAGTAACAGTATTAGAAAACAATTTTGTTCTAGAAAACTCTAAAACAAGTTTATTTAAAGATGACATCACAGTAATTTTGCAACAGTGATAAATTTTCTGTAATTAGAATGTTGATTCAGATTAAATTCTTCATTTCTAGTGTCCTCTGCAGACATCCTAAAACCCATTTCCAATGGAGAAGAGGCTTGTCTCAGACAAAGCTTACCTGTGGTATAGTTTATTCCTCCCTCTCTTGGTTTTAGAACTTTCTATGAGCTCTGAGGAAACACCTCTTTTCTTAGCACCATTCTGTTTACCTGTCTTTCATCCTGTTTGCTAAGGATATGTCTGCATGATTTTACTGTGGAAATATTCCGTCTCAGAATCCATGATGATTTTTGAGGACAGTTGGTAGATTATTAGCATAAGGATTATATAAAATCCAACTTTTCCTTTATCCTTCTTTCATGCATTCTATTTCTTAGTTAAATGTTCAGCCTTACTCTGTTTATTTCCTGTTTCCTTCTCAGCAATCAAGTAGATCAGGCAAAAGAGTAGCCCTTGGGTGTCTTTTCTGCTTATAAGAACTGGAAGTTTCGAGATAATGTATTTTTCAAAGGTAGATTTGTTTTGAGTTTTCCCACAAGCTAAGTTTTATGGGTAGTTTTTAAATAGAACAATCTCATGTTTTAAGGATTGTGTGCTTTAAACCAAAGGTTTTGAGTGAATAGATTTATGTTTTTATTTTTATTGTTTTATTTTTTAAGGATTTTATTTATTTATTGGAGAGAGAAAGTGGGAGCAGGGAGGAGAGGGAGAAGCAGTTTCCCTGTTGAGCAGGGAGCCCGACATGGGGCTTGATCCCAGGACCCTGGGATCATGACCCAAGCCGAAGGCAGACGCTTAACCGACTAAGCCACCCAGGCGCCCCAGGTTTATGTTTTTAATGATATGGTGTGATTATACGTCACATAAACAAGACACTACTTGGGTTTGAGCTTTTAGAAAGAGAAGTTAGCTTCCAGTACATCTATAGTCTATCCCATTCTTAACGATTTGTGTAGGTGAAAATGTGACTCAGCAAATAACTCACAAAACATTTTTATGGTAGTTTTGAGTGACAGCTTTAAAGATTTATTTGAGAGAGAGAGAGTGCAAATGGGGGAAAGAGCAGAGGGAGAGGGAGAGAATCTCCAGCAGACTCCCTGCGGAGCGTGGAGCCCCACTCGGGGCTCAATCCCTTGACCCTGAGATCATGACCTGAGCCGAAATCAGGAGTCAGACACTCAACCGACTGAGCCACCCAAGCGCCCCTTGAATGATAACTTTAAATATGATAATATAGCCACCCTCACCTTTGGTGAGGTAGAAGCACCAGTGTTCTAGAACAGAGCACCGGGCTCCATAGAACAAGAACCACTCCCCGGCCAACGTGGTCATCTTTTGCAGTAATGCTTTTCTCTTAAGGTGTTAATTAGTGTTAGAGTTTATGGGATCTAGTGCTTTTGTTCTCGCTCTGTCACTTTCTGGCCGGTTGTAGAAAAGAAAACTATGAAGCGGATACAAAGAGTTAAGAGCAAAGGATGTCAAGCAGGGTAGGTAAAACTGTCTGTTAAACTAAAAACATTCACTCGTATATCATGGAGATGATGGAAAATTACCTTCGTTTAGTTATGGGCCGAAAAATGACATCTGTTTTTGTCTTTAGGACATTGTATAATTACAGCATGCTAAATGCTGTGCATCCATTCCCTGATTTACAAGCAGGTTGTGGTTAAAGTTTTTGCTTATCATTTGTCTGCTACATGGAATGTTTAACATCCAGCATTTGCCCCACGGAATTACTGTTACAGAGGATTACAGGCTAGCCAGCAAAACCCAATTCTTAACATAAGGTTGCTAAAGGAGGACATTTGTCATTGAACTGGAAATGTTATAATTTAAGTATACAGTTATCCAGAATAAACAAACCAGAATGAAGGTGGGCAAGAAACCATTTTCTTTTTCTATAAAAGCATATTTAATCAGAGAAGGAAGATGCCGTTGTGCTTTAGACTTTCTTTAAACTCATTTTTTTTTAAGTTGTGTGTGTGTGTGTGTGTGTGTGTGTGTTTTCCTTGATGTGTGTATAGCATTGGTTCCCCTTGTACATTTATTATCACTGATCGGGGTGGGGAGGTCACAATGAAATGTAGAGAAATTTTATTGAGGCGACTGGGGGTAATAAAGAATTAGTGACAGTGGAAAACAAAAGAGGTGAGGGGCGCCTGGGTGGCTCAGTCGGTTAAGCGTCCCACTCTTGGTTTCAGCTCAGGTCATGATCTCAGGGTCACCGGATCAAGCCCCACATCGGGCTCCACGCTTAGTAGGGAGTCTGCTTGAGATTTTCTGTCTCTCCCTCTCCCTCTGCCCCTCCCCACCCTCTCTCTCTCTCTCAAATAACATATATCTTTAAAATACAAAGAAAAGAAAGGAGGTGCATACGTGGGAGAGGCAAAAGGCAGAGAAAAGGAGTTCTCTCAAGGGAAAAATGAAGGAAATCAGAGTAAGTTATTGGAAAAGACAGTTTCTTTTGCTATTCAATCAGCAAGCTTTGGGAATGTTCTTCTTGATGTCAGAATTTCCTGTATGGTAATTATATTTCACATTCCTTGTTTGATCTAAATTGGATTTGCCCATAAAAATTAACAAACATGTCTTTTCAGATAATTTTTTTGCCTTTGGGGAGGTTTAATGCAAATCAGAGGAAAAATGGTATAGATAATTTTACAATGAATCAAAACTCTTCCTCCCCTCCCCCAACCAAACCTTTCTTGACTTCCTTATTGTCAAGGCAGACGTTCAGCGAGTAATACCCAGATAGTGGTTGTTTATGGTTGAGCATCTATTCTCACTAGCTGGTACCCAGACTGTGCTGATTGTTAAATATTCTAAATATTATTCCTGCTTGTAACTTGAATCACTGCATTCTCGCCCATCTGCCATGTGGGACTCTGTAGGGGAAGAAGAGGCCCAACCTGGGCTCAAACCAATCCATTCTCCCATGACCATTATAATATGTAATATTGTATCCAAGAAGGGACGTGCATTCAGAATACAAAGCAGTAAGACAATTGGATCCCCCAAGCTGGAGACACACACACCATCAGTATTCCCCTCAGATGGCTGTTAGAATTTGAAGAAAGACAAAGACTGAGACAGAAAAGTTTTTGGTTTGTTTTTTTTTTTTAAAGATATTTTTTATTTATTTATTTGACAGAGAGGTAGAGAGCACAAGTAGGCAGAGCGGCAGGCAGAGAGAAAGGGAGAAGCAGGCTCTCTGCTGAGCAGGGAGCCCGATGCGGGGCTCGATCCCAGGACTCTGGGATCATGACCTGAGCCGAAGGCAGCCGCTTAACC